CTAGGCACGTAATATTCAAACTGCTCCACACAAAAGGTAAAGAGGAAAATTTGTTAAGAACAGCAGAGAAAACAAGACACTGTCTTTAGAAGAACATCAATCAAAATGGTAATTGGCATCTCATCAGAATCAGCAGAGTCCACGAGATAATGGAATGGCTTCTTTAAAAAGATAAACAACAACAAACACTAGAGTTCTATGCCCAGGAAAATTATTTGTCAAGATTAAAATAAATCAAAAACATAACCAAGAAAGAAAGCTGAGGGAATTTTTTGCTAACACTTCTATAGTGCAACAGTAAGACAGGAAATGCTAAAGCAAGTTCTCCAAGCTGAACCGACCTGTGGATACACAGACATGCAAGAAAGAATGAAGAACTGCAGAAAGGATCAATATAACAGAACATCCCAGCTTTTAAAAAATATACTGACTATTTAAAATCACCAATAACAACTATTGGGGCATGTAAACAGGTGAGGAAGGGGCCTAAAGTATCCAAAGGGTAAATGGAGACTCACACACTGTGAGGTATTAACATAGCCAGGAAGTTGTAAAATATTCATGCAGTATTGGTAGTCCCAAGTTACAGGTCTCTGGTAGCCACTAAAACATACCACAAGTCAGAGCTGAAAACATGATGGAAGAAGATACAGAGCAATAAAATCTTGCCTGGTTATGTTTTAAGTGCCACTTTGAATATCTAGTAATTTCCATACACTTACAATCTACTTTTCAACCCGGTGGTGTTCTCCTAGGAAAAGTTGCTATGTAACACAATTGCATTCTATTCGCATGTACCATTTTCCTAGTATTGTTTGGGAATAAAATAATACGAACAGCTGTTGGAGCCTAGATTTTCTCCTAATATGGTGAGGAATGAAGTGCAGACGGACGCCTATCAGACTGTCCATGGGCCTGAGGACCAGTCTTATGTAACGGGGCCAGAGTGGAAGGTCATGGTCTCTACTCTGCCCTGGAATGAGGAGAAATATCTGCATCCCTAACTAAGTAAGAAAGCAAAAGCCCTTCCAAGTGTGTTTGTCTCAAAAATGCTGTCTGACTTCGCTGCCAAAAAAGTTGCTCATTGCAATCAAAGGATTCTTCAGTTGGATTGCCTCGTGTGAAACCCGGGTGTTATGCAGCGGGTCATGGCGAATGCTGAACACCCGCTCCCTTGGCCCCCCGCGGGGTTTTGTGGGATCTGTTCTCTGAGATGCTATCAGTTGACCCTGTGCATGAATGAGAAACTGAACTGCAACTGGGATGATTGGATTAGCCCTCAAGGTACCTTCTCCCATCTTCTGTCACTCATTTGCTATTTCCCAGATTTCTCTCTTCTCCAAACAGGGCTTGGGTATGTTGGTATATTTGCTCAATTTTTAAAAATTAATGCAGCCATGGAGGTGGTGTAGAAAAATGTCCATAAACAAAACAAAGCAGTTCATGGAGCAGTATTGATACGATACAGATAGGAGAAGACCTTCCATTTTTGCTTTCTTCAATTGCATTTTGTTTATATATTTACTCATTAAACATTTATATGTGCACTATATTGCATTATATCTGGGGGGTTTCTTTATTTATTTATCATGTGAGGGATCAAACCCAGGGCTCTGCACCACTGACCCACATCCCCAGCCCTGCATATTCACTTTAAAAAAAAATTAATCTACAAAATACAGAACTATAGAAAATGTTGGACAGCCGTATACTTCTGAATCTGGTCTTGTGGAGAAAGGAAAGAACTCGTGAAAGGCTTAGAGCACAAGAAAAGGGGCAAAGTCATCTTAGCTGTTGATCTCACGTATGGCTCAGCTACTAGAATGGATCTGCCTTGTGTGACTACAGCTAATTCAGTGAAAACCTCTCATCACCAAGTTATCGAACAAAAGCTACCTGAATTCTTACCCTACAACACATAAGAAAGTACACATTTCATGTTTCCCTGAAATGGTACTGTCAGTTAATATCAAAACTAGAATGACTTCCAATCAGGTACTGTGAAAGGACCAATGATTTAATTCCATAATTTCCTCCAAGGGTGAGTTAGATATCTGAACAGATTCCTAAAGGTATGGAAAGTATTGAATGGAATATTTTTTGGTTCTTATGTATGGAAACTCCATTTCCCCTCTCTTTTGTACTCTCATGCATACCAGTGTGCTTACGTACATCACATGCCACAGCCGAATGTGTTAACAATCCACTGCTGCCCAGCACGTCAGAATTTAGTTGTCTTAAGTGAGTCCGGGTTGCCTGCAGTTGGACCTTACCTCGCCTTTGTTCTCATTACCTTTTTCCACCTCAGGAGTCTTCTTTCAGGTAATGCAGCTCAGCTCGGACCACACCCTCGTTAGTTTAATCCCTCCTCTATCATGGAGAAGAAAAGTTCAGGGGGATTCTTTGAAAAAAGCTGCAAACTGTTGTGGTTGGGGCCAATGTGTCCCCCAAAATACCTCATGGTCCTGAAGATTTGGTTGCTGTTGGCCTTTGGGGAAGGGACTGGATTGAGAGGCATAATCTGATGGCATTTTTGTGGTGATTGAAACAGGAATAGTCTCGAGTTGAAGAGAATGGGCCAAGGCTGGGGCCTCTGCCTTTCCTCTGGTCTCCTCCTCTTTGGCTCTTTTCCCCTTCTCCGTTTCCTGGTTGCCATGAGGTGAGCAACTTTCCTCAGCCACACCCTTCCACCACGGTGTTTCTCCCTTGGAGTCTGCCAACCACAGACTGGAACTCTGGAACCAAGAGCGAAAGTAAACCTTTCCTCCATTAAAGTTGTGTGTGTCTGGTATCTTCTCCTAGCAATAGGAAAGCTGACTGACACACATCAATTTTGGAAACTATAAAAGCAAAAACCAAATCATGTAAGACCAACGTGTCAGTCAGCTTTCCACTACAGTCTCAAAATACCTGAGGGAATCAATTTAAAAGAAGGAAAAGTTTACCTTGGCTCATGGTTTCAGAGGTCATGGTTCACGGTCTCTTGGCCCTGATGCTTTGTGCCTGTGGTGAGCCTGTACATCATGTTGGGGACATGGGTGGTGGGAAGGGCTGTTAGCCACATGGGAGCCAGGAATCAAAGACAGGAAGGTGCAGGCAGGGTTCCTAAAAGGCCTAATTACAAACAGGGCTCACCTCTTAAAGCTTCCTCCACTCCTCGATAGCACCATCACCTGGGGATGAAAGCCTTTGGGGAACTTTTCAGATACAAACTGCTACCCAAAAACAGCATTTTACTGCATAAAGTAACTCAGTCTTCATGGTTAGAGACCAAAGTGTCGCAGTTATTTAAGCATTCTGCTCCAAAGAAATGTGGTATTTCTCCATCATGTATCGTAAAAGTCAAATATTTTGATTTTTATGTAACAATATAATCACTTAAAATTCCAACATTTTGGCATCCATCTACCTGCTGTGCCTCTTGCTTTTAAAAGCAAACAATGTTGGATATTTTTAAGTTCTGAGTGCTTTACATGAGGTCCTGCTAATGGATCAGTCCTGGTGGGAGCCCCATGCTGAGCATGAAGCGCCCATGCTGAGCATGAAGCGCCCATGCTTGGCTCCGCTGCTTCTCCTGGACTGGGGGAGGGGTGGCCACAGGACCCTCCCTGTCCTTCCTGGTGGTCGGGCCCTGTAGTGGGGACGCTCTTGGCCCCAAACCAACCAAGGTGCCCAAGGTCATTGCTCCCTTCCCCGCCGGAATGTTTTTCCCTTGATGTTACAGCTTATTTCCTCTCCATGTCTCATAACCTCAGCACCTAATTTTGTGAAATGCATTTGTTTTGTGTTTTTTCAATTTGTAAAACTTTTAAGAAATGGACATGACAGAAAAGGGGCCACCTTAGCCATTTTTAAGTGTACAGTCAGTGACATTATATATGTGTGTATCATTGCACGGCCATCCCGAGAATCCCTCTTCCAGGCTTTTTCTCATGTAAAACTGGAACTCTGTAATCAGCAAACTAATTCCTCATTTCCCCTCCTCCTGTCCCTGACAATCACCATTCTACTTCCTGTCTTTCAGCTTAATTGCTTTTAGAACCTCACATAAATGTAGTAATGCAGTGCCTGTTCTTTTGTGACTGGCTTATTTCATTTAGTATTATGTCCTTGAGTTTCATCCATATTGAAGCATGTGTCAAAATGCCCTTCCACTTCGAGGGTGAATAATATTCCCTGTGTATGTGCACTGTATTTTGCTTATCCGACAGACACTTGAGTTGTTCCACCTTTTGACTACTGTGAATAATGCTGCAATTATTTTAGATATACACACAGAAGAGGAATGGCTGGGTCATGGGGCAATTGTATTTTTAAAAATATTTTTGAGGAGCCACTAGACTGTTTTCCATAGGCACTGCACCATTTTACATTTCCACCAACAACATGCAGTGATTCTTAATTTCCCATTTTCTTTATTTCATATCCTCATCAAAACTTGTTATTTTCTGTTTTAATATCTATCTATCTATCTATCTATCTATGGCCCTGGGAATTGAACTCATGGCCTTCATGCTAAGCCACATCCCCATCCCAGACCACTTTTTGCAAGTGCTAAGTTCCCCAGGCTGGTCTTGAACTTGCGATCCTCCTGCTTCAGCTTCCCTGGCATGTGCCACCACATTCAGCTTTTGGGTTTTTTTTACTTAATAGTCACTACCCTACGGATATAAGCAGATAACTTTTTACATCTTTCTCTGTCATTATCTTGGGTAATTTATAGAAATAAATTTCTTCCATACATGTTTTGGCTGGTAGAGATAACTTACAAGTGTGAGGAACTTGTGAAAATGCTTTCATGTTAATTTTTATATGACCATAGAGTTATCCTGAAGTACAGAGAATAAGAAAAAAGGTCTGCCACTGAATGGAGCTCATTCCGTCAAGCTGCTCTCTCTGCTGCATAACTTTTCTCCACCGATTTTAATCTTAACTTTAATTTTGTGACTTTATAACATAAAGATGCCAATGTTTACTCATAAATACTATTCTTTCCTCAGAAAATCTATTCCCCGCTGCCGAAGAATTAACAGGATGCTGTCCAACGAATCCCTACACCCTCCAGCCTTCAGCCGCTCCAACTCACAGGCCTCCGTAGACAGCGCATCCATGGAGGATTTCTGGCGGGAAATAGAAAGCATCCATGAGAGCAGTACTGGAGCGCGGGGGGAAGAGCTGCCCTCCGAGATCAAGCCGGTGGATGGTGAGGGCTGGATTTCTCATCCTTTGTGTGCTCCTGTGTGTTCTGTGGAAGTAGAAACTGCCTCACTAGTAGTTGCATGAATCAGTACCATCTGGCCAAGCACCTGCTTAGCCGATGCCTACTTAACTGGCTGCAGGTGCCTTATCCAAGCTGCTGGGATGCAGGGGCTGGGCCTCAACAGCATTCAGATCAGTCCTCTCTTCCTCATTGCTTAGGGGCGCTGTGACTGTCTGCTGACTTGGGTCACTATCATCCGACTAAGCATTCTAATTTTGGTGGCTTTTACATTTGTATATTGGACTATTAATTACCAGAGAGCAAGCAAGGAGACAGAGACAGAAAGAACTTGTCAGAAAAATTTTGGAAGGAAAAAAATGACTGTGAAGCATTCACTTCTATTAATGTATTAAAATGTTTGGTATTCCCCCAAAATAAAATTTATGTTAAAAATTCTGTTTTTTAGTGAAACAGAAGAAGGGTGGAGTCAAAAACAAGATGATAATTGTCCTTAGTTCTCAAAGAGAACAAATTTACCACCTGGGACTAAAAGCATAGGCCATCTCTTCCAGGGCCCTGCCGTCACCAGTGAGTAGAGAAGAGACCCAAGAAAGGTGGACGCTAGGGTAGTGAGTAAACCTAAGCAGGTTTTCCATAGAAAGTGATTAGCCTCAGGAGAATTACCAGAGTAAACTGAAATTTTAAAAAGCCTTCTTGTTCTTTATTCTACTTTCTACAAGTCTGCCTTTCTCAGCACTAAGAATGATAGTTTGGATGTAAGACAGTCAGCTCTGATGCACTTTTGAAGTGTCAGGCCCCACTCAAGGGCAGCATCCTCCTGTATGAAGTGTGTTCTTGCTCCCATCCCTACCAGTCAGCCAAGGGTTCTTTTGCTCAGCTCAGTTAGAAATCATGAATGACAAAGTAGAGCCCCCCCAGTGTCGGCAGCTCTGAACTCTGGGTCCGGTGGCTTCCACCCCTCTGTGTTAGCAGCCCACCCCTGCTGTCAACTCTGCGTCATCCCTGTCTCGGGCTGCTCGGCACCCTCAGTGTCACGAGCCCTGGCTGCCGGCTGCTCTCGCTGCCAGCCGCCTTGAGGTTCACCAGCTCAGTCTAAGCAGCTCAGCCTGCTCTCCTGGAGAAAGGAATCATGAAAAGGCAATAAAACCACCCAAAAGGAGCTTTAGTAGGGCCGATGCCGTGGCACAAGGGGAAGCGGTATGTGGACTGATCCAGTAAGGGTGAGACGAGGGTGATTTATACAGGCAGAAAATCGAAAGGTGGACACACAGTGTTCCGCTGGCTGTCGCCACGCTGACTTTCCACCTGGGCACGGCCAGGTGAGGAGCTCCTTATGGGACAGAGTGGAGCCATCTGAAGCAGCTGGAGAGGGACTGAGTCACCCGGAGATGCTGCCAGGCAGAGGGATCTGGGACGGATAGTGACTGAAGCTTGCCACATCTGAGGGAACCTCAGCTGGCCCCAAGGCACTTAGGGCAGGCAGGGCTGTTGGCCATGGAAAAACCACCGCCAGTCCCCTTTCCTCCTTCTCATTGTTATTTCCTTCTTTGTATTTTGCCTTTTCAGATCAAGAAAGACAGAAAGACACATAAAGGGAAAAGGGTATCCTACCTGCCTTTTTCTTCCTAGCTCTCGATTTACATTACAGCCTTGAGTTCAGACTGATAACTCCCATTTCTAATCCAGGTTTTGCTGTCATTTCTTTTTCTCCAGTGAGAGATCAAGCCACGGCTCTCCCTGTGTGATTATCCATTTGTTCAAGACTAGAGTACATGGAAAACATTTTCATGTTTGCCAGACTAAACTACAAAATGCAGACTTACTAAAAAGACTTCAGTGCTTATTTACAGGTATCTGTGCTTGAACTAGTCACAGAGAATTTTAGTACGCAATTCAATGAATTTGGCAAGTGCATGCCCTCTTATAATTTAACATTGATCAAAATAAATATGTGTATTTGAAACAGATAATATTTCAATCCAGAAACCCTCTCATTCTTTACCCCAGTGTCATCCCTCCCCAGACTCACCATCCTGCCAGAGGCAACTGTAGTTCTAATATTTCTGCTGTGATCGGATAATGTGTATCACATGGTTACTGAGCAGTCTCAACAAACTACTCCAAGACTAGGTCTTCAAAGCACAGAAAGTGTTACTCTCAGTTCTGGAAATCTGGAAATCCTGGGTCTAAAGCACTGTGTCTCCTCTACAGGTTGTAGGGCAGGATCGGGCCCATGCCTTTCTCTGGGCTTCTGGTGATCTTCGCTTTATAGACAGCTCATTGTACCTTATCTGCCTCCAAGGCCATGGACCATGGGCCTGTGTTTGTGTTGTGTCCTTTCTCCTCCTCTTAAAAGACACTGGTTATATTGGGTGAGGGGCTCCATCCACTCCTGTGTGATAGTGAACCAGGGTTTTTTGTTTTGTTTTTTGATGCAGTGCTGGGGGGATCCATCCTGGGGTCCCACATATGTTAGGCAAGAAGTCTACCACGACCTACACCTCTAGCTCTCAACTTAGATTGTGCGTGTGTGTGTGTGTGTGTATGTGTGCATGTGCATGTGTGTATGTGTGCATGCTAGTCCTTTGGAAGTTCTCTTTTTTGAAGTACAACTGACAGATAAAATTGTATGTCTTTATGGTATACAATGTGATATCTTTTACATATGCATTTAACTCACATCATAATTACATCTGCAATATAAATATAAATCTCACTGAGTACATTTTCTTTCATAAGAAGTTCTTTTTCTGCTCTTAATTCTTCTCCAGTTTTGCAAATAGTTATTGTACATATTTGTGTTTGGGGTCCACCACAGCTATGCATAAGACAGTTATTTCAATATAAGCTATCCCATCCTTCACGGAAAGTCGATTTGCCTTTGGATATATTTACCCTACAAACTCAGTAAGCTGACGGACTTAGGTATGGAATGAGAGCTAGATTTATTTTTAAAAGTTGGCTGCATAGTCAGCATTTAACAGCTTACTAGAATATCCGGCTTAATTATATTTTCGGTGGAAACTTGCTTGGTTAGTTCGTTAATTCAGCAAGTATGTGTACCTACTCTGTGCCAGGCACTCCCAGAGAGTTACAAGCAAAAGAGGGTTTTCTCACAGTTAATGATCTAGCGGAAGAGACAGTGATGGATGGAATAATATAAGTAGATCTGATTTGGAAGTTTCCTGAAGGAAAAAGAAAACGTGATAGCAGTTAGACACCACTGAGGCAGATGGATTCAGGAACCAAAGACTCCCCTGGGGCACAGATGTCAGGACTGAGATCCGAGACTGAGGCAGTAATGACAGGGCCAAATGGGGGGACAAACAAGGTCAAACAAAGCAGAGGACAGAGCCCTGGAAGACTCCAAAGTAAGCCAGCACCACTGGAGGGCTGAGGGTGGAGAGAGCCTGCTAAGGGTGTGTCCAGAAAGGCGGACAGCCTACACCTTGTAGACCAGGTTAAAGCATGGGAAGGTCACAGCATTATTTTTATTTGTGTTCAAAAGGATTGATCTAGTTTCACTGTGGAAAACAGGTCAGAAGGAGACTGAGAGCCCCTGAAGGGGGCCTGCTGGGAGTTAACTGTTGCAGTCCAGATGACAGATGATATTGGCTTTGAGCAGAGCCACAGAAGAGGCAGAGGGAGGAAGAGGGTTTGCGCTGCAGTAAAGATGCAACATGAGTGATCACGGCGGCGTCGGTGTGAGGAAAGGCACAGAGACCACTGGAATACAACAGAGAATCTGGACATAGAGCCACACAATGCTTTCTCCCTAAGGTGGGGAACAAGGGCAGATATGCCTACTCTTCACCTGTCCATTAAACTTTGAAACCTAGGCCTAAACCAAAATAGTCTAGCAATAAAATGACACAATTAGGATAGGATTGGCACAGCAGAAGCAAA